GAAAATGGCTGTCAATGCGCTTAACGGTAAATTGTAAATATTATGTACTCTCGCGGCTTGGAAAAAAAGTCATTTAAAATGATGTCAAAACGAGCTGTTTCACCGGAAAATACTCTAGTTTTAATTTTTTTTTTTATTTCTTTTGAAGAGTTCAAGAGCTCTGCCTGCAAATTAGCTGCACGACATTTAGATTAATGTATGCGCCCAGAACTATTACTAGATAGACGTATATTAGTTCTCCGGAACAATCTTTAGATCAAGCTATACTCTACGTTGACAACAGTTCACATAGTGTAAAGGCTTCCGCTTGTCTATTCCCGGCGATAAGTCGAGCAGCTTATGCCACATTTGCGTGGCGCGTGCAGGGAACCGCAGAGTAAGCTCTTCAGCTCGAGCTGTAATCCTGCTCGTGCAGGGCATTTGGAGACTCAGCTGCCGAGTGCAGACTATATATTCACAAGAACAACAACAAGAAGAAGTGAGGCAACAATAACATTGCCCAGAAACCGGTTGCATTGACGTAGTTTCTGGCCGCGACTGCTGAACCAGTTTCTTGTGGCAGTTGCAACAGATGACGTCAACTGGTCCAAGATTGACACCAGCCCAATATGCTGGCCCTTTATTTTTAGAGCCGGCTGTCAGCGGCAGCTGTTATGGCCAATTTGTGACAGGCCAATCTAATCGGGCGGACATCGAAAGGTCAGCGAAGGCGGAGTCGGAGGCGAACGGATTGCGTGATTAATTCAAGAATCCAACTGCATCGCAACTCCTCCTGTGGCAAGTGTCAGCATCAAAGTTGAAACGCAACGACTCGAGCCCGGAATTATAAACAAGTCTTTACCACGAATCCAACCTGAACCGAACCATGAACCATATATATATATTCTTTGGTTCAATATAAGAAGCTTTCAGCCTGGTTCTGCGTTAGGTTTAGATAGATGGAGCATTAAATAGTTTCATTAAAATGTTCAAAACCATGCAGTCAGCTGGTTCAAACCATGAACCGAACCACACTACATTTTATTCTTTAACTTTGCAGCCCTGGTCAGAATGTAGCTAAAACCTGACGTCGTAAATCCCGTTAAGCTGAGAACAGTTATGTTATCGATACAGCGATAAGATTTGAAAGCCAACGCAAAGCGTTAATGGCCCCATTAATAGCGGCCCGTTAAGCGAGCGATAAGCGACTTTACGACAATTACTACAATAAGTGCTACAAGGGAAAAAGCCGAAGATGGAATGCTCTTTTTGGGCATGAAAAAGTAAACTTATAAAAATATTTTAACATAATAGCATAACAAGTGTGGATGAAGCATAAAATATTAAATGGAACTTTTGTAGAAAAATGCTTTTTATCGATAAATATATACAAATAATAATTTCAATTTCCAGTTCTAACTTTCGATAAGTGCTGACATTTTTCAACATAAAATCCAAGTACCCCTCCAAAAGGGAGGGAGAAAAAAAACCGAACAGAAACACACAAATAACGTATTTGCGATAAGACCAGACCGGCAAACGACAAACACTTGAATGGAAAAAGGCGGGGGCTGTTCGGAGCAGGTGAACGGGGCGCCGGCATTAGATGGAAGATATGTATATGCATGAGCACACAAATGAGCCGAAGGTGACAGCTGGCAATGGATGGCAGAGAGCCAGAGAAAAGCTAATATTTGCATAAGGACAACTAAATTTAACTTGAACTTTGTAGTGCAGTGTTGGACCAGTGTTAATAGCGCTAGATAAAGTGTAAGTGTTCATAAAAGTGAATTGCGGAAGGATTAAATGTCTTTAGTTAAATGTTTATACGTGTTATAGAAATACGAGCTGTGTAATTGAACATGACTCGGATCATCTTTCACTTTTCACTCATAACTCCATAGATACGATTATATTTCTTGTCATGTTGTAGAGGTAAATGTCCGGTTCGGGGTCGATATAAGTATCAATGTGGCTCTGTCTTATTGCCAGTTATCGATAACTCTTCTGTGTTTTCGATAACTATCTAATCTAGAGCAAATTTCGCTTTCAGATCGATTTGCCTCAAGTTTGCTCAGAGTGATCGATAACAAATCGATAAATATCGATTCCAATATTCCATACGCGTTTTTTTTTAATAATTATCCCAGATATAAGAATACATTTTGAATAGCTTGCACTGTAAACAGTTAAGTTAGTTAACATTATGTTAGTTAACAGTTAACTGTTATCATAATTATATGTTAACGCAACTGTTACACTCCTCGCTTGACTTGTAGGTAGCTAATGTTATTACTACAAGTGCTCGGCAGAGGCTTAATGAACACTTCACGACAAATAGTGAAAAGAAAATAGTTACCCCTCACTTGGCGATCACTCGATCTATGAATATAGATCTATAGATATATATATATATGTATATATACACAAGCACTTAGCTCAATGGCGATCTGCAGATGCTAATTAGTTGATCGTGCTGAGTTGACCTCAAACAAGTTCAACACAACAACAAAAAACTAGGCCGAATGATCTTTCAAAGCGGTTTCCGCTCCGCTCCACGTAGCCGATTAGTTGGATTCGTTTGCCACGCTCTTCAGTTTTGATTCAGTTGTGAAAGGGCGCAGAGTTTCCCCCAAGAAAAAAGGGGAAACAAATACAAATACAATACAATACAATACTTATTATTATTGAGGAACAAGCTCGAGACATCTGATGACTCAGACGCCTCGGATACATTCACTTTTGCTTGGGGTCACACACTCAATCTGCAGCTGTTCATTAAAAGAACAAAACAAAACAAAACATTTCCTGCTCTCGCGAGAGGAACAGAGTATTTAGAGAGCCAATACAAGAGATTCCTGGAGAAAGAGAAAAGCATCTGAGTCAGGGACGAGGGAAAGAAGCTCAGCTACAGGGCAGGGTATTAGCTAGTCGTGCACTCCCGACCAGAGCACTCTTACACAGAACAATCACGTTGGCATTTGGATTCGATTCGAGTTAATATTATGGCTGACTCACCTTGGCGGCGGCAAAGCCATCCGGATTGCAGCTGGGCAAAAAGTGTATCTCGGTGGTGTTGAGCAGACGCTGCACCTGGCCATCCAGCTCATAGCGGCTGGCCAGGTATTCGGCCAGGTAGAGCACTATTTGTCGGCCCAGCGCCTCGTCGCCCTGGATGTTGGCCACCAATTTGACCATGGGACGCAGCAGATCGTCGCCGTCGCCATCGGTTGCCGGCGCATTCAATGCCAGGGCGTGCATCTCACGGCCCTGTATGGTGCGGCCGATGCTATAGGTTTGGGCCAGCGTCGGATAGTCTCGGCTGAGACTGGCGAATAGTTCGCCAATTTCCTCATTGTTCAGATAATGCGCATTATCTAAAAAGCTAGCGCCCTCCTCCACCACCTGGACCTGCTCGAGGGCGGGTGGAGTTGTGCTGGGACGTGGGCTGGCAGCGGCGAGGCACGTAAATGCGAGCACGAATACGTAAGCGCAAGCGTACATTTCGCGACACGACACGTAAGCAACGTAAACAGCAACAACAAGAACAACAACAACAACAACAAAAAGCGTAGGCGCAGGCGCGCGCGCCGCGCAGCGTTCACAATAGGTTGTGAGACTGTGAGTGGAAGCGAGATCGCAAGACACTTGTTGCACTAGTCGATAATTGGAATGTGGTCACTTTTCTCAAATGCCGATATGCAAAACCGATTGCAATTAAAACGGGCACTTAGCACACTAGACGACGCCCGCCGATGCGTAATTCAGCACTGTTCCTGCTTTCTTTTGCACTGCCGACGGCCGTGTGGGCTTGATGACGTGCACGTCAAGAGCCGCTTATAACTTACCTGTGGGACCTGTGGCACGACCACGCACGATCCCAATTACGCACTACGCTGACCCGCAACGGCTTTCAATTGGTTGCAGCAACACAATATTTACTATACCATTAATTGAATTATAAGCGCAACACGTAAATAAACACATATATTAAAATTAGAGTGCGAACCCACCGCGACACACAATCACAAAACAATTGCTGCTGCAACTATCGATATACTATCTTTTAAACTGCTAGCGATGCACGTTGCGTATATCGATTAAGGCCACATCGTCTTCAAAACAGATATTGGCGCGCATTCAAATAACATTCCAATCGTATTTATTGTTTTATGTGCTTTTTATTCTGATTGCTTATACAATTTAGTAACAACAAATAACTCGAAAAAAAATACGAAAACAAAAAAGATTGCGTTAATGCCTATCATTGTAATAGAAATGATAAGCTTAAGTTTAATATTAAAATGTGTATATATCAAAAATGAGTAAAATATGGTTATGTTAAGGCAAATTTGTTGTTGTTTGAAAAAGTGCATTCTTTTCAAATGGTATCAGACATTTTGGATTTGCATCGTAAAGTATTTAGAGTTTTCGAGAGAATCGCTTACAACGTATGTGTATATAGTATATATGTGTGTATGTCTGTGTTTCCTCAACTAGTTAAACTTACGAGTTACGAGCATAAGTACTTTGTTCTTGGATTTGTATTGTGTATAAAAAAGCGTTTGTTGTTGCTTCTTGATATTGTTGTAGTACACGTACGTGTTTCTGATTGCTTAGACATATGACGGTAAAAAAGTTTGGTTTGTTTGTGTGCCGATTTCCAGGTATATCCACAATTTGACATGACTTCTTCCATGTACGTACGTATATGTATGTGCAGGCTTATAGGTTTATATGGCAACAGGTTACCCACTCACGAACATTTCTCTTATCTACATATATTTGGCTATATGTATATGTGTGTTTGTGCATGTGCATATAGGGTTTATGCTTTTTTCTTTTCTTCGAGCGGACAATCGCGAATTCAGTTCAACTAACTCATGCAAAATCAATAAAAATCATATTTAATTCATAAACAGCCTGCCTAGGTCAATTAGGCGAGCCCACCCCCATCTCCACCCCCACCCCCACCCTTCCGTCACGCAACGCACTTACGCACTACACTACACGCTACACAACACTACGTTACGCTACACTACACTACACTACACTATGCTCAATGCTGATTGGCTGCCACGCTGGTGCTCTGTCGCTGTTCCCGTTGGCGGCGCTGCTGCTGGGATGTGGCAATGCGTTTTTTTAGCATTTGAAATGTCTGCTGCATGTTGGTCATCTGATAGCGTATCGAGGTGCTGACGTCACGCTGCAATTGCTGCACCTCCTGTATGTCCTTGCGCAGATTCTGATATTCGTTCTTCACCTCGGTCATGGACTCGAGCAGCTCCATTACCTCCATTTCGTCCATTTGCTCCATTGCCGTCTGATCCAAGCTGCGCTCCACAGCGTGCAGCTTGTGGGCCATCGTATACAGCTGGCTGCCAGCATTGGCCACCTGGGGCACAAGAGGTCAAACGATGAGCTCTTTTTGTTCCAGCATATTTCTCTTCTTATTCTTACCGATTTTTCCAAGGCGCTGATATCCTCCTGATAGCCCGACATCTCCATGCTGCCGTGCTATTGTGCTCGCATGCTTGTGGCCCCAACTAAAGCGTTGCCTATTTATAGGCGCCCTGGCGAGCGACTGCCCAGCGAACTTTGGGCGTCTCTGTGAAGCGAAGCACACGCAATGTTAGCGAATCCTGCAGGTCGCTCGGCTATTTATACACACGAGCATGCACACACACACACACGCACAGACATTCACGCACACATACAGAGCGTGCTATTTTCCGTCCCCACCAAAATGGAGGAAACAGCCAGCGACCTATTGAATGCCAAAACAAAAAGAAAACAAGCCGACTTAATCGCGCTGAAGCTGGCATACCCTGACCATCCGAAGTGTCTAATATTAATTGATTGAAAAGTTAGTGTAAGGCAAAAGCGTGCCACGCAGGCATCATAAACATATGTAGCTTGATTTCTAAATAGCCTGAGAGATATAAGATATGTGCATAAATTCTGAAGGCGTTGCCAAATGCGTGCGCGTGTTGAGTATGGCCTATGCCGCGAAGGGCAACAAAAAAAACTCACCACCCATCTGTCTGGCTGGCATGTCTGTGTGCGTGTACCGCTGTCGGTGTGAATGTGCGTTTTCCGGTGAATGGCAACTTTTGACCAGTGAAAGTATTTTAATCATGAGATTATGTATATGTACATGTTGACCAGGAAGCGGAAGCTGGCCGCAACTTTCTTTTGAGCCGATGGAAATTTAAAACTGTTTACTTTCGTTACATTTTCGTTTACTCTCATTTCTCAGCCGAATTTATATCTAGTTTGTTTCAGTTTTAGGGTGTACAAATTAGCTAAAATTGAAGTTTCCCAATGGACAATCACGATGATGGACAAACTGATTCCGAAAAAGATGCGGATGGTGACATTCTGCCGCGCTTTAAGGGTTTGCCGAATATCACAGAAGGTGTCGAGAATATCCATACACATCTGCTGAAGCGACACGTCTATCTATATCCCGAGGATGGCACCCACAGAAGGTGGGTTTCCCCCCAAATAATAGTTCTGTTCGCAACGGGCAATGTTAGCCAGGTGGTCGAAGCAGCCGTAAAGGATCTTAAGCATCCAATTGGCACAGGCCTCGTTGCCAGCATACTGGTGCAGGAGCCGTTGCGTCAGACCATAATACGGAAAATACGTGCCCGCATGGAGCTAATGGACGAGCGAATACCTGGGCATCCAAACTTTCTGAACTCCCTTAAGCTGATTGAGCGAATGAATTGTAAGACTGTTTATATAGAGGAATTCGACCCGGCCGACAAGCAAAAGTTATATGGCAGAATGAAGCCCAGATCGCCCATTATTGTCCTGGACTTCCCCCAAGTCTATTTTGGCGATAAGCCCACGGCGATTATAACGCTAAATACCTTTCGGTCTCTGAACGAAGCTGTCAAGCTGTGCAATCGGGAGGGTCTCGCTTTCGAAACGGTTTCCGTTTGGACTAACAAGCTGACCGAGGGCTATGATATGGTATCCGGGCTGCCAAGGTTTTCAAATTTCCGATTCAATTGCATTAACGTGCCCTTCAAGGCCAACGCCATGGTAACGGTCAAAGATAGCTATCATTACGAAGTGCTAGCAGCTAGCGGCGAGCTGACGACCATTGCCTTTCCAATACAGCACGAATTCTGAATAGAATTCTGTGTGTATCAAGATTTTAAATTATTGAAATTGATTATAGTAGGTTGTCAAAATAAAATTTCGAAACAATTGCATTTTGGTTTGGTATATTTTCTGGTATTATATTTAGTATTCTTTTATATTGTCACATTGCGTGTGCTTGTTATCGTGTTATCGATAGCCGGAGTGTGGTAATTGGATGCAATCGATATTTTTGGCCAGCAGTGCCATCGATTGTATTGCCAGCTCTAGATCCATCCGCAACTTTGGAAATAAATAAAATAAATGTCAAAATAGTGCTAATGTTGCGTGAGTTCGTTTAGTTGGTTAACGCAATGATTTGTCGCTTGTGCTTGAACACATTGGACGAGCAGAATGCCGTGCTGCTGTTCACTGGCGCCGACAACGAGAGCAACAGCGACACCAAGCCAATACCGGAAAACTATTTGGTTCAATTGATATCGACGCATTTATATCTCTGTGTAAGTTCACGCTGTGCCCCGAGTGCGTGGGCAGGTGGCCAGGTCGCCAGCCCCGAATGTGTTCTGTTTTAACCGTTATTTCACCCACATGCGCATAGCTGTCGCGCGACGATGCCATTTCGACGTCCATTTGCACGGATTGTTGTGCGCAACTGGAGAGTTTCCACAACTTCTGGAAGCTGGTGGAGCACAAGCAGACAACGCTCTGCAGCCAGTTCTTAGAAATTGACTGCGATGTCAACTGGTCGGAGGAGGACGATGCGACGGCCATCATCGATTATGAGCAGTACCCTGACCCTGACCCGGACCCGGACCTTGACAAGGAGGCGGTCGGTGATGATACTCCAACAGTTTACGATGCTCTGGTTAAAGACGAAACCGAATTTCACGAATCATACCTTAAGGTCGATCCCAAGGCAGCGGCGGCGCACAAGTTTCCCTGCATGTTTTGCGAGAAATCATTCAAAATGCGCCGCTATCTCGAGGAGCATGTGGCCACGCACACCGGCGACCGGCCCATTGCGTGCGCCTACTGCAACATGGCCTTTCGCTGTCGCTCCAACATGTACACACACGTGAAGACCAAGCACACGACACAGTGGCAAAAAGCGCGCGCCGAACGCGAATCGGCCAAGATCAACAGCAACAACAATGTGCAAATCCAAAGAACCATCAATGGTGATAACAGTGACAAGCCCGTGGATGCATTAATGCATGTACCGCCCAGCGTGCCGAAGTCCAGCACACCACAGCCGACACTAAAGATAAATGCAGCAGCCGCGGCGGCGGCGGCGGCGGCAGCATCTCCAGTTCCAGCTGCAGCGCCCGCAGCGCCGGCTTTGCCTGCGCCCAACGTGCTGCCATCGTCGCCCAACATTGTGAGCATCAAGTGTGAGCCCATGGAGGCCATCAATTTAACGGTGTCCAAAACATGTCCAACGCCCGCCAAACGGGTGACACGCTCCAGCCGCCGCAAGACGCATTCGCCCAAAAAGGTGCAGCATACGGCGCGCAGCGCCAGCGCCAGCGAAGACAGCAGCAACGAGGAACTCGCCGATGTTCACGAGAAGCGCTTCAAGAGCGAGCTACAGACGTGCAAGGAAAACGAGCTTCTGCTGGCCAACTACAATGCCGTGGCCGCTGTTGTGGCAGCTGCCACGCAGCAGCAGCAGCAGCGCTTCTGTGCCACAATCATGCAGCAGCATCAGGAGCAGCTGCTGACAGCCATGGCCGCGGTCAGCACTAGCACCAGCTCGGCGGCGGCAGCAGCTGCCGCTGCTGCTGTGGCCCTAGCCAGTCAAAGCAGGTGCGTAGCCTCTGGCCAAGTCTTAGCACAATCGTTAATTGCTTTCTTATGTTCCGCTTGCAGCACACCGGCTGTGGCGCCTGCTACCGCGCCCGCTAACGTTCCGGCTGCTGAGCCCTATACGTGTAGCATTTGTGGCCAGCAGCTGCGCAATCAGCGCGCGCTCAAAAATCACCTGCACAACAAGCACAATACGGCCACGAGCACGACTGCTACCGCGACCGCGAGCACATCCTCGTCCAGTCCCAGCCTGGCACTGCCCATCTGTGCCAACTGCGGCGAGCTGCCTGGACAGAATCATCGCTGCCTGAGCAAAGCCAAGTACGCCTGCGACGTCTGCGGCAAGTCATTCAAAATGAAGCGCTATCTGGAGGTAAGCAACAGCGTCCCGGCGAGAATTGAGTCATCTTTTCAACTCGGTCTGTATTTATATACTTAACATTTGCATTACCTACTGCAGGAACACTTTGCCACACACACTGGCGTCAAGCTGCACACCTGCGCCTTTTGTCCCACGGAGTTTCGGTCCAAGTCGAATATGTATCATCACACCAAGCGCAAGCACAAACTGGAATGGGAACGTTCACGGGCCAGCCGCACTGCGGCCAAGTCAGCAGCCGCAGAGCAACAGCCGGAGCAGGAGCACGAGCACGAGCAGCTGGACGATGGAGTAGTCACAAATTCCTAATGCGATATCATCTAAAGCAGCCCCCATATATATATACATATAATCAATAGTTACTTTTTAGTGTGTCTAGCCGTACGTACTTATGTACTTTAACGTATTCCGGGCTGGGATAGACTGTCTGTCCACTGTCCCATGCCAGCCCCGATGCCGTTTGTGTATATATATATATATATATATATAATTACTTTATGTGCTCCTCCTCTTATGCCTTACCATCTAGATGTAAAGCAATGCTTAATCTCTGCCGCCGCCTCCCACTTAATTTGTCAAGCGCCATCCGTATATATAGATATATATAAACTGCATACACATGTATACTTCGTACAATTTGATAGATATATTCAAGGATATTTTCATTTTTTGTTTTTTCTTTCATATTTTGTATAAATTTCAATTCTCATTTACAATTTGTGTGTAAACATATTTTGCGCTTAAATGTTATTTAATTTATTATTATTATTTTTATTATAATTATTTTGTTTTGCACAAAATGCGAGCTAAATTTAACTCGATACTCAAATTTTATGTTTAGTTTTTAAACCCAGTTTTTTTTTTTTAGATAAAATATGAACTCAATAATGAAATCCATTTCCTTACAACTCTTTATTTTATTTATTTTTGTTATGCTCCTTTATACAACTACAGAAGAAGAGGAAGAGGAATTTGATGATAAAGCTGATGGATGGATGGATGAATGAATGAATGAGAAAAGAACCTCGACGATTTTGAGTATACTCTAGTAATAAAAACATGTAATAAAAAAAATGTTCTATAACGCAATCTATATTAATTTATAGCTACCGAAAGGTAGAGCTTGATGCTTTTCCCATACTTCTCTCTCTCTCTCGCTCTCTCGCACTCGCACTCTCTCACTCACTCACGTACTATCTCTCTCGCTGTGGCTCCCTTTCTTCGTCTAATTCGTACGGTATTTAATTGGACTCGGGCTTGCCCGACTTATGTTTAACTCTATATTGTATATTGTATATGGTATATTGTATATTGTATTATGCTTTAAGGGGGAAGGGATGGAATATATTCCCGGCATTTTGGGCTGCTGGCTGTGTGTTGTGATCGCCGATCACTGAGATTGGTTTGCATGGTGGCTAGCTGCGCTGCTTGGAGTATATTGAATGGTGTGATCCTCTCACTTGGCACTAGCCAGCCGCGCGTTCATCATGTCCGTCGATGGCACCGAGAAGACAAACGAGAGGCAGCCGAAACGCAACAGGCTGCCATGGGCCAGCACAGCGGAGCCTTCCCAGGCGCCGGGCACCATGCGCACGGGCGAGGCGCTTTGGCAGCGACAGGCGGGTTTCACAAATGGCGCCAGTCTGCTTTAAAACAAATAAGCAAAAAAAAATATATATAAACCTTTTGTTTATATTTGCTGTTTATGCGATAATGACACTTCCCAAAGACAACACCCTGTGCTATCGATAACGTTAAAGAATTTTAAAAGAAAAAGTGTTACCAGCTGCCGCGTCAGAAAGCAAGCCGCTAAAAAGAACTAAATTAACGCTGATTAGCAATAAACGGCTTTTCATGGGGCAGCCAAGAAAAAGCTAAGTCTAAAACAAGCTAAGTCTAGCCAGAAAGTAGCTGATTTGGCAAGTCATCCAAGTCTGAATAAAGCCAAGCTTAGCTAGAAAGTAGCTGATTTGGCAGATTGGCAATAAACGGCTTTTCATGGGGCAGCCAAGAAAAAGCTAAGTCTAAAACAAGCTAAGCTTAGCTAGTAAGTAGCCGATTTGGCAGATTGGCAATAAACGGCTTTTCATGGGGCAGCCAAGAAAAAGCTAAGTCTAAAACAAGCTAAGCTTAGCTAGAAAATGGCTGAGTGCGGCAACGCCTTACTGTAGTTTGTTTATGCTCTAATGACACTTGTCGTCATGTGCATTTCGGCTATCGATAATTGGAAGAAATCAAAACATAATTGCATAATAGCTGCGCTATCGATGTCTGCAAAATGAAGCAGAGTAAGGCAAATGGAAAGTCTGTAAATAGTTTGAATTGACATGTTTGACCTAGAAGGGGTTGGCTCACCTGGCGTGCGCCTCACGCTTCGGCTCGTACTGGCGCTGTATGTGCCGCCGCTTGTCGAGCAGATCGTCGACGCGTCGCTTCAGTTCGGCATCATCGGGCCGCATCCGTTTGCCGGCATGTGTGGGCGCGTACTCGGTGAGATCGCATGTGTATAGCTGGCCATTGACCTCGGTGCCAAACTCCGAGTAATTGATCAGCTCGTACGATTTGGTGAACTCGTCGTAGAATATAATCGCATGCTGTGGCGAGATCCGCGAACAATAACCGATGGCGGACAGATCGACCGTTTCCGTGTGCGCCAGTGTTGTTGAGGGCGTAAAGTGGCCGCCATAGCCGATGTACAGTGTGCGATAGCGCATAAATATTGATTGGTCCAGGCCCAGTGTGCTGAACCAGCGGCTATCCTCGAGCATATCGCCGAGCGGTGTCAGCACCGCCCGCGCCCGCACCTTGCACTGCAACAGCTTCAGCTCCAGCCGCGAGGCCAGCTCGTATGCCTTCTCGGTGTCGCTGCGCTGGCGCGGCACATAGCTCTCGGCGGCCGTATCGGCTGCCGCAATGGCGGCGGCTGTTGCCAGCGCCGGATGCAGGGCCATCATCGGATCCTCGTCGGCGCCGTTGCCATTCTTCTGGGCGAGTATTGAGGACGTTTCGCTGGTGAAGAGCAGCGAAAAGCGACGCATATCTTCCGGCGCCAGATCACCCTGCAGCGCCGTTTGGCCCTCCGGATGTGCGCCGGCCACGGATAGCTGTCGCAGGCGTCGCGCTGCCGTGCGATTCTTGTACTGGGTAACAATCTCGGGATGCTCGTGGACTAGCTGCTGCAGGCGCTGATGCGCCAGTTTCTTGATTATGTCCACATCCAGATGGCATAGATCCGCATCGATGATGACACTCGATGATTTGCACTCCTCCTCGTCCTCTTCGTAGCTAATCTCCAGGCTGCCCCGATCCTGTTGCACATGACAGTTGTTCGGCTTGGACTGATCGGTTGCCGTTGGCTTGTTACACTCCTTATGCTCACTGTTCACATTTTGACTCTCCGCCGTTTCAGCTGCCTCCGGCTTCGAGCTTAGGCTGGGCGTGACAGCCACACCGTTGCTGCCCCGCTGCTGTTCGGCGCCGCTCTCCGTGTCGCTGTCGCTGATGCTGCCATCGAGTTGGGCGTTGCCTAGCTCTTTCTGTATCTCCCGGAACTTGGCACGAGCACAGCGCAACGCCTCCAGATCCTTGAGCAGCGATTCGGTTACGCTCTCCCTGGATATATCCTCCACGGCGGTGGGCAGCTGTTTGCGCCGCTTCACTCGATCGTAGCGCAACGTTTGCCGCATGGAGGGCAGCAGCGCCGGCGGATGCTCGTAATGGTAGCGCACAATAGCCGGCACCTCGATGTGGGCGCGGGCGCGCATGCTCAACTTCATCCGGAACGGCGGATGCCGCGTATTGACGCGCCGAAAGAACTCCATCTTGACGTTTTCATGATCGAGCGGCTGATGGAACCGATTCCACAAACGTACACGCTCCGTGGCCGAAATGCTGTTGGTCATATTGGCATCCTGGAAGCAAAGCGAACCGAAAGTAATTGAAAGTGGCGTCACACGGACGGTAAATACAATCGAATGAACTTACTATAAAATTCTCTACATGATTGGGGCACATCCACAAGCCAGCGGGCAGTGCGGTGAGCGGCGGATCTAGGCAATCCTGATGATAATACAGCGGACAATAGTCGCACGAGATGAGCGGCGCCCGCTTGCAACTCCGCGTGCAATAGAAGCACGTCTTGGCCGGCAGTGGCACCAGACCCTGTGCGTCTAGCTCGAACGGCTTGGAGTTGCGTCGCTGACTGTTGGGCTTCCGATGCCCGTTGCCGGTGCCCGTGTGCGGCTGCACCGGTTGCACCTTACCATTTCCCGGGAATTGGGTGTGCAGCTCCAGTTCGGCTGGCAGCGAGAACTGCTGCGGATTTAGCATGCTGGCGGCACGTATTACATCGTCCAGCGGTGTGGGCTTTCTGTTCGGATCGAGAGCGCGCTGTATGGCCAACGGCATCTTGGCCAGCAACTTCTCGGTGCTATTCCGTTCACTATTGCTCCGCTTGCGCAGGTTGCGAATCTTGAGCGGTATCGACTCCAGTTCACCGGAGGATGGTGTATTGGCGCGCGAACCACTGCCCGCCGAGGGTACACGCTCCACGGAACTGGCCTTGGAGGAACACGCTGGCTGCGACACCTTGGCCATGCGACAACTATGGCATAACCACTGACCACTGGGTATATCCTCCTCGCTGAGCGGCGGATCACTACAGATGCACCAAAGCAGAAAAAAAATGAAGCTGTAACGTACATTGGGCGCACTATAGGTTGGGAATACCCACTGGCATTGTAGGTGAAAGCTGGAGGGGCAACGGTCGCAGCATAGCAAATTCCCGCCCTCCTCGCAGGCATCACATAGATCGTGGTTATGGCCGCGTCCAGGACGCCTATAGTACGGGTGCTTCGTGTTGGTGGTGCGCTGTACCAGCTTCTCCTCCTCGTTTGGCGGTGGCTTGATCAGTATCTTGATTTGCTGCAAAACGAGAGACAGGGAACAATCAGATTGTCTGTATCTCTGTAATCAGTGCAATCTGTATCCGATTTGGCGGCAATCGCTGTGTGTCGTCCGGCTGTGGGCAAAACATTTGTCAGATGTATACGCACCTCCATTATGCTCAGCGAACCAATTGGGTCCTGGTCAGCTTTTGACATCTTTTTAACTTTTTTTCGTTAACAAAAATTTGTTAGCTTGGAAGAGTTGAAACCGAAACCAATCACAGCGTTGCATTTAATTGCTTGCTGGGTTATTCACGACATATCGATATATATCGCACAAAATTGCGCGCGTGCCGATAAAGGCGGGCGGGCGCACTGTGACCCCTATGCTAATGCGCAATATGGATTTAACCGCTAATCATCAATATTTGCTGTCGCCGTCGAATCCAACATAAATTACAATAAAACTTATTGCATGATTTTTTTTTTGCGCAATTCAGAAAAAGGAAAACACTCTTTGTTTCTTTGCATTTGTTGTGATTTTTGGAAAATGTTCTTGCCATTTTACAGGCCAAATTTTGACAAATTTTGAATTTTGAAACCAAGCGGGTAGCTTCTGCACTCGTTTTGGCGGGAAGGCATTAACCGTTGTTGCCATAACTTTGATGCACATCGCATTGTTAAGTGAGAATATCGATAGTCCACAACCTCTAATTGTGTTATCGATAACGATACACATACTTTTGACAACACAAAAACAAGACGCAGCTGCTGAAGTCATAACTGCGTAAATATTAAATTATAGTACAAATATTGGCTAAAGCTGACAAATCGAAGTGCAACATGTTCTCGCTGTTTGGCAAACGCAAGCCGGCCGAAACGCCCACCGAGGAGGCCATTCAGGGCCCCGCCGATTTGCCCAAACAAAGCGTTGGCGATGATTTCATATTTGTGGAGCGAAAAACTGACGCAGATCCCAACACAGCGCCCGGTGGCATGATATACCCGCCCATGCCCCAAACAGCCTACGGCCCAATGCCATATCCACCGCCGCTGGGTGGCCGCCCAGCAACAGGCCCTGGGCCAAATCTAAATGCGCCAGCCAGTTATCTGCAGGACATTCCGTTCGAGCTGTCACCGCAACTGGCCACCAAGGATCGCTTCAATGGCACCCAGTTGCAAGTGGACGGCATTTTAGCACTGATGACCCGTCAGCTCTCGGTGGATGCACTGGCCGAGGAGTATACATTCACCCTGGAGCGTTCAGTGCAAAATGATTCGTACTGAATATGGCGAACAATGAAACTAATGCTAATTTTATACATAATTTAATATATATGTAAATGTGTAGAATAATTATAGATTTGTTGCGTGTGAGAGAGCGATAGAAATTGATTACACGGCCGAACAAAATCAAATATGCGAAGGCTTGTCTTATTTTCGATTTGTGAATCCCCCACAGGAAGCTTACAATTTCGAGCAAAAGATGGCGACACTTGCCAATAAATATTTCGCTTAAGCCAGAAAAAAAAAAACTGTTGGCAATCAAAGTTGGCTTTGACTTTTGAACTGGTTGTGCTTTGGGTCCAGCTTGTACACAAATCATTCCATGTTCGATAGCGTAACATTAAATTGCCAGTTCTCTCGATGTTATAAACAAAAAAAAAGCGGAACAAAATATTTTGTTACTTTTTTTTTCTTCTGTATCGTTATTCAACAAAATTTTGTGTCTATTCAAATTTAGCGAAATATTAAATAAAATACGCAGTTATGGCAAGCTCAAATGTATCTGATTGGGATGAGGCTCTGCCGACATCGTCTACGGAGGAGGCCGAAGAGGAGGATACAGACTACTGCAGCCCGGAGAATCGCAAGAAACGGCAGGAGGAGAATGTCTCCAAGCTGCAGTCGTATGTGCGACGCATGGCCTATCAGCCGGCGCTGCCGCCCAAGGCTCGGGCCTACGATGTTGCCCTTTCAAAGCCCAAAAAACACACACTCATTGACAACTATGAGCAGTTCAAGGAAGTCTACGATCCCAAGCTGCGGGCCAAGCGCATCAAGCGCATGTTGGGCAAATACAATGCCATCACCACAGAGTAAGTACATAGGCAAGGATTCGCTTTCAATAATGCTAACAGAAAACAAATTGCAGGCAGCTCGAGGATGTACTGAAGAACACCAAGAAGAAGGAGCGACGCAAGGAGGATTTCCTGAAGCGCAAACAGGAGATGTACTACAACATGCTATCCAAGATGGAGCGCCAATGCCGTTCACAATATCTCAATGTGCTGATCAAGAAGTTTGCAAAATTTATTGCACATCTGGCGACGACAATGCGCATACCGCCACAGCTGGTCGATCCCTATGCCCGGATGCAACGCGGCATATTTTGTAACATACTGCTGGCAATTGGTGTGCAGCCGACCTCGCAGTCGGCCATCTATTATACCAGCCAGGATGCCATTGAGTATGATGTGTGCCATCGTCTGGCACATGCGCTTCTCAGTCTGATCATCAAGGCGTTGGATACGGCGGCCACACGCGAACCGAATGAGGTGCCCAAGCCGCCAGCGGACATGGACTTTAAGATGGACAACTATATTAAGGAACGGCTCATGTGCGCCGCCAAAAAGAAGATCCGAAATGAGCAGCGCCGCAAGCGTCAATCCACATTCAATTTTGGTGCCTTTCACAAATGCTCCCGCCTCGACTGCGATTAGATCGGGATCGAACGAGCTCCGAACTGCCGGGCGAAAGCGTGCACAAACTAAAAAAACATTTTTCATTTTTCAATCGATCTACCACACATTTGTCAGTTCTGATTCGGGGGCTACCCTTCAAATATACATGTTTATATTATACTACATTTGGGGCAATGCTCAGGCACAGCCACTTTTCTGGCACCTCAAAGCTTTCCGACGGATTTGCCGAATACGCCTCACAGCAGGGCACATGCCAAACGTTGCCCACTTTGTGGGCGCTCAAACGATACCTAATCGGCTCCTTGACAATTATCTGGCCCGTCTGGGTTTGTGTGACCAGAGAGTATTGATGCTCCTGCTGCCATCGCCGGAATACGGCCTTCAGTTCGCTGCCCAGCAGAAAGGCATGACTGCGCATCAGATCCCGCGAGAAGAAGTCCGTATCCTGGCCGCTGTGCAGCGTTGCGTACAGCAGAAACGGATCATCGTGGGTACTGTTGGGTGGTAGAGCGCATTAGTAAACATCAGGTTAGGGTCATCTGTGGGTTGCGTACTCACAGATTGTTGGTGAGGAAAACACTGGCATTGTTTTGTATATACTGCATGGCTGGCCTGGACCAGTTGCGCATGTGCTGGCGACCCAGGACGAGCACGCGCTTGCGTCGCTCCTTGAAGTAACGCACCACGGTGGCCAGCAGTTTGGCCAGCTGCTGGGGCGGCTTCTTGTTACCCGTGGAGTAGGCCACATTGAGGCCATCGATGACGCAATCGTAGGGCGCAGTTTGCTCCACATACTGCTTGAAGCGTGCCACCTCCTGCGGCGTAGACTTTTGGAACACGTCGTTGCGTATGAGCACCTTGGCCAGAAAGGATTCGCGCAGCTCGGCGAACTGTGCATCGTTGATGGCCACATGCTGCAAGTGCTGCTGGCAGGCGCCACATTTGCCCTTGCGATCCAGTCGTGTGGTTGTCGCCTGCACTTGCTGCGGCAGCCGCTGCGACAGCGCCAACAGCTGCTGCGCGACCAAATCGCTGATGACAATGTCGTGACGTTCCAGAAAGCGCAGCAGTCGCTCCAGCTGTGCACCTAGCGTCTGCACCTGCTGTGCACTTTGCGCCAAGTGCGCCAGATACACCTCACACTTGGGCAGCTTGCGCGCCTGCAGCATCTCCTCGAGCAGGCGCCAGGCCAGCTCCGGCTGTTCCGCGGAAAATGTCTTGGCTGCCAGCGTACTGTAGGCTGCTACGCTGGGTGCACTGGTCACCTTCATCATCTCCAGCAGTGGCACAGCGCGCTGCCAGTGCTGCTCTGTTGCCACCAGGCCGTGTATCAAATGCTCACAGCTGCTGGCATCCAAAATCTCGTGGGCGCCCTGCAGCGTATCACAGATGTGCACAATTTCCGCCTGCTCCTCGTCGCTGAGCGTGCGTGCTTGGTAGGCGGCGTTATAAACGCGCAGCAGACGACCCAATGTCGCTGCATTGGGCTTAATGCCCTGCGCCTGCAGATAGCTCAGATAGCTTTTGGCCAGCGGCAGCTTCTCCGCACTGCTGCACATGCCCAGTACGACGGCGTCCACGTTGCTGCCATTGATGTATTTGTAGCTGTCGGTCAGTGTGCTTCGCACCCGATGCCAATCGTCGTTGCTCAGCTCGCTGTGCCGTTCAAAATAGTCAGTCTTCAGCTGATCCAGCTGATCCGAAGGCACTGCACCCAGTTGGGGCCTTCGCTTGTGATGACTGGCCAGCAGACGGTATGGCGGTGATTGTGTCAGTGCTGTCCCAACGCTCTTTGTGATCACACTGTGGCGCAGTTGACGCAGTATACGCAAATTGTACATTATTCAGTTTGTTGTCAGTTACACTTACTTGTTGCCGGTTCGGCAATCGAAAGACTATCGATAAGCACATTTTACAAACTATCGAGTAGCAAGGCACATATGCTAACGTGCGTCAAATTAGCGGCGGTGACTTAGCGTCGAATTTTGGTACTTGTTATCGGAAAACTATCGGTCACTTTCAAATGCATTTATTTATGTTTTTAAGCACGAAACCAAATAAATTTAAATGCAGAATTGCAAAAAATTAAATTATTTACTATCTACATTCATTTATTTTTGAATTTTAATTTATAATATGGGTAAACAAAGGGGTTGAAAAGTTAGGTTTTCGCCATTCTTTAAATATCTTAATTCAGGGATAATGGCCCCGAAAACCGCATACACACGATTGAAGTCTATAGTTTCACCTATCCAATCGTGAAAAAATTATAAAAACCGATCAGCACGTTTTTAAGATATTTGTACTACAGTGCAGCAACCTCGTTGCTAGCCCCATACAAAATGACCGTAAAAAATCACCCTTGCACTTGAACCCTAATAACTTTTCTCAGGGATAATGGCCCTCAATGCACGGTATACCAACTTGAAGATACATGTTTAAGGAAGCTTTACGCATTAATTCTAAGCAAATCGAGCAGCCAGTTTTTTAGAAAAATGGCAAAATGTAAGCACACCTCATGTTGTTCATTCAAAATGCCTATCGAGCTACTAGCTCCAACGGGAACCGAACCACTGCTCGGAATCAGTGTTGAACAATGTTATAAAGTATTGGGCGGGAACAAATTAATTCAAAATACTTGTATATGAAAGAGAAATGCAGTAATATATAAAATAATTGTCATTTTACAATAAAACATTATCTTTGGTAAAATAGACTGCTGCAAAAGACGACACCTATGCATTTAAGTATTTATGCACGTATCATAACAAAAAGGTGGCAATATTTCAACCTATATTATTCTATTTCTCCGATAATGGCCCCAAATGCACGGTAGTTTAACATATAGATCGCGAATTATCAATCATTTTGCTTTTTACATCAAGAAAATCGTCCAGCCAGTTTTAGAGAAATTCGCATTTTTCTATTTTTCTTATTATACCCTCTGTTATGCAAAAAAAACTAGCTGGCAACATTACATACTTAACATATTCATTTATCAAAATGGCGACAATATTTCGACCTTTATTATTCTATTTCTCCGATAATGGCCCCAAATGCACGGTAGTTTAACATATAGATCGCGAATTATCAATCATTTTGATTTTTACATCAAGAAAATCGTCCAGCCAGTTTTAGAGAAATTCGCATTTTTCTATTTTTCTTATTATACCCTCTGTTATGCAAAAAAAAACTATCTGGCAACATTACATATCTAATATATTTATGTTAGGGGCTGCCAACTTATGAAGAATGCAAACATAATGATATGGAATATATAAAGATGCCAGCTTGTGAAAATAAGTAAAAGTATACATGACGATGAATATTATGTAATCATGATATTTATATTAAATTAATATACTTTATATATATTGAAACATTCTACATCTCTATGTTTGCATTCTTCATAAGTTGGCAGCCCCTAACATAAATATGTTAAGTTTGTAATGTTGCCAGATAGTTTTTTTTTGCATAACAGAGGGTATAATAAGAAAAATAGAAAAATGCGAATTTCTCTAAAACTGGCTGGACGATTTTCTTGATGTAAAAAGCAAAATGATTGATAATTCGCGATCTATATGTTAAACTACCGTGCATTTGGGGCCATTATCGGAGAAATAGAATAATAAAGGTCGAAATATCGTCGCCATTTTGATAAATGAATATGTTAAGTATGTAATGTTGCCAGCTAGTTTTTTTTGCATAACAGAGGGTATAATAAGAAAAATAGAAAAATGCGAATTTCTCTAAAACTGGCTGGACGATTTTCTTGATGTAAAAAGCAAAATGATTGATAATTCGCGATCTATATGTTAAACTACCGTGCATTTGGGGCCATTATCGGAGAAATAGAATAATAAAGGTCGAAATATCGTCGCCATTTTGATAAATGAATATGTTAAGTATGTAATGTTGCCAGCTAGTTTTTTTTGCATAACAGAGGGTATAATAAGAAAAATAGAAAAATGCGAATTTCTCTAAAACTGGCTGGACGATTTTCTTGATGTAAAAATCAAAATGATTGATAATTCGCGATCTATATGTTAAACTACCGTGCATTTGGGGCCATTATCGGAGAAATAGAATAATAAAGGTCGAAATATTGTCGCCATTTTGATAAATGAATATGTTAAGTATGTAATGTTGCCAGCTAGTTTTTTTTGCATAACAGAGGGTATAATAAGAAAAATAGTAAAATGCGAATTTCTCTAAAACTGGCTGGACGATTTTCTTGATGTAAAAAGCAAAATGATTGATAATTCGCGATCTATATGTTAAACTACCGTGCATTTGGGGCCATTATCGGAGAAATAGAATAATAAAGGTCGAAATATTGTCGCCATTTTGATAAATGAATATGTTAAGTATGTAATGTTGCCAGCTAGTTTTTTTTGCATAACAGAGGGTATAATAAGAAAAATAGTAAAATGCGAATTTCTCTAAAACTGGCTGGACGATTTTCTTGATGTAAAAAGCAAAATGATTGATAATTCGCGATCTATATGTTAAACTACCGTGCATTTGGGGCCATTATCGGAGAAATAGAATAATAAAGGTCGAAATATCGTCGCCATTTTGATAAATGAATATGTTAAGTATGTAATGTTGCCAGCTAGTTTTTTTTGCATAACAGAGGGTATAATAAGAAAAATAGAAAAATGCGAATTTCTCTAAAACTGGCTGGACGATTTTCTTGATGTAAAAAGCAAAATGATTGATAATTCGCGATCTATATGTTAAACTACCGTGCATTTGGGGCCATTATCGGAGAAATAGAATAATATAGGTTGAAATATTGCCACCTTTTCGTTATTATAATGCACGTACTTAATGCATAGGTACTTAAATGCATAGGTGTCGTCTTTTGCAGCAGTCTATTTTACCAAAGATAATGTTTTATTGTAAAATGACAATTATTTTATATATTACTGCATTTCTCTTTCATATACAAGTATTTTGAATTAATTTGTTCCCGCCCAATTCTTTATAACATTGTTCAACACTGATTCCGAGCAGTGGTTCGGTTCCCGTTGGAGCTAGTAGCTCGATAGGCATTTTGAATGAACAACATGAGGTGTGCTTACATTTTGCCATTTTTCTAAAAAACTGGCTGATCGATTTGCGTAGAATTAATGCGTAAAGCTTCCTTAAACATGTATCTTCAGGTTGGTATACCGTGCATTGAGGGCCATTATCCCTGAGAAAAGTTATTAGGGTTCAAGTGCAAGGGTGATTTTTTACGGTCATTTTGTATGGGGCTAGCAACGAGGTTGCTGCACTGTAGTACAAATATCTTAAAAACGTGCTGATCGATTTTTATAATTTTTTCACGATTGGATAGGTGAAACTATAGACTTCAATCGTGTATATGCGGTTTTCGGGGCCATTATCCCTGAATTAAGATATTTAAAGAATGGCGAAAACCTAACTTTTCAACCCCTTTGTTTACCCATATTATAAATTAAAATTCAAAAATAAATGAATGTAGATAGTAAATAATTTAATTTTTTGCAATTCTGCATTTAAATTTATTTGGTTTCGTGCTTAAAAACATAAATAAATGCATTTGAAAGTGACCGATAGTTTTCCGATAACAAGTACCAAAATTCGACGCTAAGTCACCGCCGCTAATTTGACGCACGTCATATGCTACCTCACTTTGTTATCGTTTTCAACACTCAATGGAAAATCGAATAGCCGATATTTGTGTTTGCCTCCATGATAAGATTACAGTTAGCCTTTTTTTTAAGAAAAGCTGGTATTCGCTGGCTTTGACATTTTCCAATCCATTTATCATATTGAATTTAAGAAACTCATATTGATAATCTGAACAAGAATAGCTTCAAATATAGGTGTTGATTATAATGAATCGTTATCGATAGTTAGCAGCTATTATTTGCTCGAAGCTCGAAGAGCTGACGATAGTCGAAAACTATCAGATATCGGTGCTGCACGACATTCGGCAATCGTGCTGCCAATGTGTTATTAGGGTCTTCTAATTGCTTATATAAAATAATTTCGATTGCTTACCTGTTTTGAAATATGCAAAGCTTCGCGGCTGGATATGAAATCTTTTTAAGAACGTAGAAGAATAGACACCAACCCGACTCGTTTGGACGTTCTACTTTATCTAGGATAACCAAAGCAAAGAAATATCAAATATACAATTACCGTTATACCGTTGGGCGGCACAAGTATTGATATGAAAGTTATCGTAGTCGGTTGAGCGCCCGCAATTTCGCATTTTAAATTTGGTAGCAACCTTTTCTCTTCTATAACACTTAAGACTTTTGTGTTTTGTGTACTATTTTATTGCAATATTAAGAGACAAATCGGCTTCTTTTAACAGCGACCCAATTAGTGCATTGCAATTGTATTCAAAGTTCTTTGCTCTGTGGCAAAGCCAAGCGGAGCGTAACCGGCCCCAACAATGGCGACGCATGCATTAGACCTAATTATACTTTTTATGGACTTAAGCCAAGCTGCTGCTGTCTATTATTCCCAATTTACAATGGCCCAGTTGGTGGCGACACTTGTCCATTGAGCCAAGCTGCTCAGTTTCATTCATAACGGCAGTTGGCTCGAGTTTAAACTCAAGATGAGCGCATTGTTGACTGCGACTCGCGACTCAAATTGTGCGCAGCCAGTGGCGCCTTAAGGGGGAGAGTTCCTGTTGCCTGCTGTTGACCCCCCCTGAGACAAGGACTCTGCTGCGCAGCTTGACTCGGTTTTGTTTACAAATATGCCATCGTGCTTGCCGCTCGTACCGTAGTCCTTTGAGATTTGTATGCGCGCCTGTTGCGTGCGCCCGTTGGACGTTGTCCTAATGGACTCTGCTGTGGCCTCAATTGCTCTGGTTGCCCCG